GAAGTTCATCTCATTCCACTCCCTGCCATGGGCAGTGACACCTTCCAATAGACCAGGCTGCTCCAAGCCTCATCCAACCTGGCCTTGGACACCTCCAGGGACAAAAGAATTGGGCAAGGTATGGGGATTCTCTAACAGAAAAAATGACAACTTTCAGAGAAGGACAAAGTATCCAAAACAAGTAAAACTGGCAATCACAGACTCCAACTAGTCCTAGAACCAAAGCAGCACAGATTTCTCCAGGGACAGGGCTGCCCTGCCTGCCCAGTCTCGGCACAAGGGCACCGCAAACGCTACCAAGGCACAACACCAGGAGCATTTCTGTCCGTGGCAGAGCCAGCTCAGCAGTTTGAGCTCATCTGCTCCCACCTCCAGCACTTGGTCCCAGTGCCCCAGAGCCCCCCTTTCCTGCCGGGACACCACTCCTTGTGCAGCTGCACAGTAACCAGACCAGGAAGCAGAACAATGTGAGAAAATCCGATCAGAAGTACAATATCCCCATTCTAGATCAGTTTCCCAATCCCATTCATCTCCCAACCACAAACAACAATTGTGCTGGCAGGATTCAGAGCACAGTCCATGGGTGAGAACAGACGGTGAGGAAAAGGGGCTGTTCAGACAGCTCTGCCACCGGAATATTCAAATTACACCCTGGAAAGCTGTGAATTCAAAGTCCTCCCCCTACCCCCAGCACCACACAATCATCTTGCAGCAACACATTCCAGAGTTTTGTTTTGAAAGCCAATAAAAGAGGAAGATTCCAAGGAGGAAAGGACATTTAAGGAAAGGCTGACGCACAAGTTTAAGAACTTTGGTTGAATCCATTTTGGTTAAGTCAGAATGTCCTGGGGGCAGCTGGCAGAGCTGCAAGGGGTGGATGGAGGGATCCATCCCTCACAGAACACTCAGCACGGCACAACCCCCGTGGCACCTTCTACCAGCTATAAAAATAAGATAAAAATTGCTTCAAAAAGAAGCCAAGTCTGATTTCTATTCCTAAAACCTGCTAGTACTAGTTCTAAAGGTCTACATTATTTTCATAAAGCATCTTTTCCAACCCTCTTTGATAATTTAGTCACTGTCTTACTAGAGTTATCCCTGGGATCACAGAAGAAGAGTTCCAGTAGGGAAAAAGAAAAATCACCAAACCCCACGTGTTGTATCCCAATTCCCAGCAAACACAAATGGATTACAGTCATTTCACATTTACGCATGAAGAACGTTTGAGTTTTGGTTATATGACGTTTTTAGGGCAAAAGAGCTATTTATCAGAATACTAACATTCTTCTTGTTGCTACCAAATTCCAGGAAGTCTCTCAGTTTTACAGCCACTCCATTGTGGAAAGCAAAATGCAGGACATGAATAAAAACTTCTAACTGCACTTGTGCTACAGTGCAAAAATGCCACTTTATTAGTACACACACATTATTGGGCAACTCAGAGTGAATGTATTAGCTAAATTAATCCCATGTTTAATCAGATTTAGTCCCTGACATCTGATGAACTGCTTTAATTACAGGTTTTCACCTCTGCCTGCTGCCAACGAAGAGCCAACTTTGCTCTATTTGAATGCTGCAGATGAGATTCAACCACAGGACAACCAGCCTCGAGGTTTTAGGTTTTACGCTCCAGTGATTTTTCTACTACATTACTAATCTGTATGCACATTTGGGTTGGTTTATTCCAAAAAGGACAGTGTGTTATGTAAAGATGGGAAAGAAACATACTACAGCCTAAATATTTTCAGCATGAGGTGATGCATATTTTTGTTTATATCTTTAACTTCTTAGCAGGAGATATCATCCTTCTGCAATGGTTACAAAGCATTTCTTAATTATTATACATTGTTTAATATTGACTATACATTAAAAGACTGGTTTTAGTCCTTCACACAAGTCAGCTCCTCAGGGCCTGTGGATGAGCTCCAGCAACAGGCCCTGGAATCCACACTTCCCATTTCTTTCACTTTTAACAGCTACAACCAATATATGAAACATTTAGAAATCCTGCTGCAGAGACCTGCAAGTTCAGTACAGTTTCACTATCATTTTAAGCCAATATAAGCTGCTGAAAGAACTAGTCCCACCTTTCCCCAAGGCCAGTTTCCACATGTCCCTTCCTTGAGTCAGCACGAGCCATTCATGAAGACCCACAGCAAACACAGGACACTCACCCCATTAAAAACCAACATTTCTCCTCCCCTTTTCCTTTGGGAAAGAAAAAGGGAGAAGCTGAGTTAATTTTAACATGATCAGCTCCCCAGTCCAGCTCACTGTGGCCACGTCAGAGCTGGCGTGAGCAGAGCCACGAGGAAAAGAGGAGCACGCAGCTGCCTGAAGTGTGCACATGGGAATTCACTGGGGCTGGAGCTGCTCCTGGAAACACACCTACAGGGGCAGAAACTGCAACAGAAAGTACTGAGATACTCAAAGAAAACACTCTGTGTCCCAAGATACGCATAAATGAAAAGAAATTACTGGAATGAGTTATCAGAGCAGAGTTTACATTATGGACTCTCACTGCGGGTGAGTTTATATTACCCACTTACACTCACCTGAGGCGTGGCGGCTTTCAGAATTTTGTTTGACTTTTTTTAATGAGAATGGGAAAACAGAATTCTTAACTGAGATGGTGGTGCAAGCCAAAACTTTTAACACATGGTGCGGGGACAGGCTGATGACGTAAGTCAGTTTGTCCAGAGAAGGAGAGAAAAAAATCACACCACTAAAAACTCCAGTGGCTGGGTTTCCAAATGTAACTTTGCTTTTTTGTTAATTGGTGCCCACAGACTCAGCCATTTAACTCCACCAAACCAAATTTTCTCTGTCAGAAACCCCAGCAGCTCCGCAGACCCCACCAAGCTGAGGTTCCCTGAGAAGCTCAGAGCCCCCCGGTGCCCATCAGGGAGGCTCCCAAGGCCGGGATCACCAGCCACAAGCACCGGGAGCACAGGAATGCCACCGACAGGAGAGGGACTGGCCCCAGCTCAGCCTGGGGCTGGATTCCACCCACGGGGCGGCTGCTGCGCTGCTAAAAGCAGAGCAGTTAGAAGAAACTACTCGCTCTAACACACCCTCATCATAAATGCATATTTGTGGTTCTCTCACTGTGTTCAGACCTTTCCCTTTATCTCATCAGTTGTACTTGTACCCTGAGCCAGAGCACTTGTCCACAGGATAACTTATCTGTATCTATCTAGGAAAAAAAAAAGTACACTGGAGCATGTTCTGATCAGTCAGAGAACCAGTAACACCTTTTCCTAAATTTCAGCTAAAATCACACTCACAATCACTTTGTTATTCATTCTCAAGAAGTATATTCATTGGTTCTGAAGTTCAAATTGCATTTCAACTTATCATCTCCTTGATCTTTTGTTGTGACAAAATATGAAAAGCAAAACTTGCTTTAACCTCTTTATAACCCCTGTCTGTGTTATACACCTCTGCCGTGGCATCTTGCTTGGATCAAGAGCTCACTGTGACCACAACATCCTTCCCTCGACCTCTTCCAGCTCTGAACCCACATCTCTGCACCGGAAGAAAAATACACTCTTGATTAATCAGTTTGAGACTCATTTACAACCTGAAACACCCAACCATTCCATTAAACACAAATAAATAAAAGAGAGTTCACAGTGAGATTGGGCAGTTCAGAAGTTCTGCTCAATTAACAAGTCCTTGAAGCAATTTTGTGATTTACACAAAAGCTTTTTATTTCCAATGTGTTACAAACTAACAGTGCACACTTCTCAAATATCCAGTAGGATAAATCATAACTTCAATGGGGTTTATCACCTGTATTTATAATTGAATTACCCTGTTCCAAAATACTCTTCCTACTGCTGGCACAAGGACTGAAACCAACTGGAACACATTGTGCTGGGCAACCAGAAAGCCTTGAGCCCCTCTGGTAACATCCTAAAAAAAACTTACAAGCTACCAGTGATAACTTTAAAGAGAGAGACAATGACTCTGAGCAGTTTAATTCATTAAAGTCTTTTTATTTCTCATACCTTCATCTCTTACCAACGCACAACTCAAAGTTAATGACCATATTATAGTCCTAAAAAAATTAAATCTTTACTGTTAACCATGTTAATGCTGCAACAACATTAAACTGGCTTAAACCTTCACTTCAGGGTAATAAGAGATTTTTCCATTTATTTCATTATACGGCCCCAAAATTGCTCCCCTCGCCAGCTGTACTGTGGGCAGGTGTGTGCAACAAACTACTAATAAACTACTAACTGGTACTTCTAGTATCACAAACTAATAGTACTGGCTTTCAAGTCTTTTAAACATGAGAAAATGAGTTAAAAACTCTGCAGTACGTAACACTTGTCCTGATAGACTTACCCATGTTCACGTGCACTTGTCAGAGCTCAAATTCGGTGTTATGAAAACAGAAATTAATCTAATTTACTTTTAAACCCACTCCATCCCCTCGGGGTCCAGCTTCCCACAGACAATGCTGATTTACCCCGGTGCTCGGGTATAACGCCCGGCGATGCTCCGGGCACCGGGACCCAGGACGCTCGGCTCGCCGGGCTCCGCTCCCGTTCCCACCCCAAACCAGGGCATCCCGAGCCCTCCCGTTCCACCGAGCCGCGTTCCCGGGAGCCTTTACTGAGCAGCTCTGGGGGTCCGCACCCGCCCGCACTCCCCGTTAGTTCCCGCTCCAGGCCGGAGCGTGTCCGTGGCCGCGGCCGGGCAGAGCCGGGGCCGGGAGGGGCCGGCAGGGACCCCGGGCGGGCCGCAGCCCCCCGCCGCCGGCCCCGCCGCCGGAACCTGTCGGGACACATTCTTGCGGCGGCCGCGGCCGGGCCAGGAATGCGGCCGGGGGAGCCGGGGCGGCCCCGCGCGGCCCCGGGGCCCCTCCGGCCGCGCATCCCGGGGCGGGGGCGGCGGGCGGGCGATGCCCCGCGGGGCCCGGGGCGGCCCGGAGCGCGGGCCCGGCGGTACCGGCGCTGCCCCCGCCACAGCCCGCCACGGTCACTCACCCTTGGAGTAGAGCGACTTGGGGGACTCGAGGTCGAGGTCGGCGCTGAGCAGAGAGATGAAGTCCGAGGGCATCGCAGCTCCGCGGCCCGGCGGGGGCGAGGGGGCGGCGGAGGAGGGGGGGCCGGGCCGGGGGGGGGGGGGGCGCGGCTGCCTCCGCCGCGCGCGGAGCGGAGCGGAGACACGGGCCGGGAGAGCGCGCTGGGCGCACGGCGGGGCCGCGGTCGGCGGGGCGGGCGGGCGGTCGGGCCGGGACTGCGGGAGCGGGCGGCGCTCGCAGGGCCGGTGTGCAGCGGAGCGCGCCCGACGCCGCTCCGAGCCCGCTGCGCCTGCGCGGGGCACGGGAGGGGCCGGCGGGGAACGGCGGCGGCGCGGCCGCTCTGCGCGTGCGTGAGGGAGGCCGGGGACCGGCGGGGGCGGAACGGCCGCGCGTGCGCACGCGGGGGGGGGCGCGGGGGAAGAGTCTGGAAGGGGAGCGGGGGGCGCGATGGAGCCTCACGGGAGAGCCCTGCCCTGAGGGGAGCCGGGGTGAGGAGAGCTCCCGGGATCGGAGACCCGGGAGGGCCCTTCAAGGGCAGCCCCAGGGTGGACTCGGAGGGGAGCCCCCGGGGTGAGGGGCCGGGCTGGTCCCTCAGGGGAGCTCTTCGGGGGAGCGCCAGGCGTGAGGGCAGCCGGCATGGACCCTCGGGGAGCCCCCGGGATGGAGCCCGAGTGAGAGGACGGCAGCAGCGGTTGTCCCCAGGTCCCGCGGCCGGGGTTGTGCTTCAGGGGGCTGTGCCCGACCCTCCTCGCCCCCCCCTCGCGGGGGGTCGTGATGGCACCCTGAGGGTCAGGGCCGGCTGTGGTGCCACCAGAGCTCCATCCAGCCGCAGGGCTCCGCCATGGAAACCCACAAGGCAGAGCTGCCAAACCCGCTGGCGGTTATTGTCCCAAAAAAAGAGCTATTTCCAAATAACATGAAAATACAAAAGTGGTGTCAACAGTGCGTTATCATTGACACTGATGGCAGCTGCCTGAAGACACAAGTGCCCCACATGTGGGGAGCTGGGAGAACACAAGCAGTGCGTTCTTGAGGGGGAATTTGGGATTCCCTTTCTCTGAAAGGTCTAAGAAGGGGGAGGAGGTGTGGAAAGGTGTCCCGCACAGACGTACGATTGCTTTTCCAAAGTGTCCAAAATCTGCTTTGAAAGTGGGGAAAGGATGGGAAAATAAGAAGGGTTGTGTGTGAGTGGATGGAGGTGCCAGGCGAGTGCTTAAGCTGTGAAAAATGGAGGCGGAAGGAGCTGTGAACAGCTGCCGCGTGCCTCCGGCGCCGCACAGGGTCCAGTTTCCCTGGGACACTGAAAGGTTGGCTCCCGTCCCTGCTGCTGCCAGCTCCTTGCCAGTCTGCTCTCGGATCCCAGCAAAATCTCCCTCTGAAAACACTCAGTAGCTTCCATGGCCTCGGTGCAGCCCGAGAGCCGATGGAGAACCCTTGAGCCCCATGCCTGGCTGGTCAATCGGCCACTGTGGGATGGCCACACTGGTGTCCTCACCAAGCACTCGACCACAGTCCCACGCATGTGACACCACTGAGTTGGTCCTTGGAGCACTGGCGCTCTGTCCTGCCATGTTACCCTGTTCTGCTGTGTCCCCTGCCCACAGGGCACCAGGCAGTGCCCATGATGTTAGGGTGGGACACACATGGTGTCCCTGTCTCACAGCCCTGGCAGGGCAGTGGCAGCTGCACAGTGCGTGGTTGGTGGCATTTGAAGTCAGTTCCTCTTTCATCCTAGACAAGCTGCTTTAGTTCCTGGAGCCGTCCTGGCTTTTCATCTCCTCCACCTGACTTCATTCATGGCGTGGCAGGAGGGCACAGGACTCCAGTACATCTGTGGATTTCATCCTGTCCATCAGCCATCAGAGCTGGTGACCAGCCCCTGCCCAGAGTGGGCCATGGAAGTCTCCAAGATCCTTCCCTGGGCAGTGACAGCCGGGATGCAGCCATCCTGGTCCCCAGGAACACTCAGTCATGGCATACTGCAGTTCTGCTGCTGTCTCAGGGTGCTCAGCACAGCTCACCTATGCATTGTTCAAGTCAGGCATGAGTGTCCTTCCTAGTTAAGTCTTCCAAAAGGGTTTGCTCTGATCACTGAGTCCCTCAGCAAAATCTCCAGGAATGGGACAGCCATGGCTTCCCTGGGCAACCTGTGCCATGGCCTCACCACCCTCACAGGGAAGGATTGCTTCCCAATAGCCCATCTAACCCTACCCTATGGCAGTGGGAAGCCATTCCCCCTTGTCCTGGCACTCCAGGGTCCCTCTCCAGCTCTCTTGGAGCAGGCATACTCGGGGGAGCTGAAGGGAAAGGTTCCCCTTTGGCAATCTCAAGCTTGATGACTTCAGAAGGAAAGGGGGATTCACCTGTGCCAGGCAGAGATTGCCCTGCCTTGCAAGGGAGGGAGGAATGTCTGTCCATGAGGGGAGGGAGAGCTACTGCTATGCTGGCACTACAAAATTGAATTGTTTGGGAAGCACACAGGGAAAAGAATGTAAGACTGTGCTATACTCACCTCCTGTCTGAGTGTTGAGGGAGACAGAGGCTCTTGGAGAAGGTGCCACCACCAGACGGGCTGTGGTGGGGAAGGAAAACAGATCTTAGTCCTGAGAGGGAAGTGGCAGAGGGAGCACTCTGAGACAGAGGGCTCAGGGATGGAGCAGTTCAGGATGGAGAAGGTGCCTTTGGGAGGCTCAGGCATCCATGGCTGGGCAGTGACGGGACAGCACCAAAGCCCGGGCGCTGCTGGCCCGGCAGCAGCAGCTCCACGACAGCTGCTGGAGCATGTTTGGCTGTGAAGAGCTTTGCTGAGTCCTGGGAAGGGCAGAGCTGGGACACCACAAATAACAACACAGAACAGGGGTCAAAGCAGAGAAAAAAGGAGTCCTGGTGCTCCATGGAGTGAGGCAGGAGCAGCCTGGCTGTGCAATCCCACCTGTGCTCACCCAGCCTGGGGGAACCTCCAAAGCACTGCCCTGGTAAGAGCTGGAAAGGAGAGAGGCCCTGCTGCTCCCAGCATTCCAAGACAGGGAGGCAATGGGCAAAGGCCAAAGTTGGAGAAAGAATTAATATTTCAGTTTTTTTGGGAGGACCAAACAGTCTTGGACAATAAGAACTTAAAGGACTAAATAAATGATTAGTCAGTCCATGGTGCAGCACAGAGCAGCAGGACTGGGGGGAATAACCACACCGAGGCAGGTCAAGAAAGCACATGTACAAGATTCCCTGGGATCCAGTCAGAGCCATAAAACTCCTCTTCTTTTATGGGCCCCAGAACATGGAAAAGCCGTGGGAGCAGGCTGCAGCGGTTCTGTGTCATTGAGGTATTTTCTCTCTTTATTATAAAGTTCCTCTTCCTGCAGAAGCAGCCGGAGAGCAGCAGGTGTGAGGGGGAAGGAGCCTAAACCAGGATTGTGGGGACAAATTAGCAGGTGCCTGCAGAATATCACTAACCCCGTCTGCGATTCCGGAGCCGACGTAGGTGTTTTATTTTCTAGCGGTGTTAGAAAGACTGTCAGAAAATAATTAGGCTCTGTCAACAGTTCCCCTATTCCCAGATTACTTACGACTTCGACTTCCTGACTCATTAGAGCTGCCGAGGCTGGCAGGAAACCTGTTTTATAGTAATTTCTGTTAGTGGTGTCCCTGGAGGAGAGACAACACGGTGCGGGTGACACCAGCGTGTGACACCAGCGTGTGACATTGGCGTTGACTTCACCCTCGTGATGGAGGCGCCGGGGCCGTGCAGGGTGGTTACTGCTGGCAGGAGACACTGTCCCCCTGTCCCCGTGCTGGTGACAGGGAACAGGACACTTGGCTGCGGGGCCGACGCTGGGCAAGGTCCAGCTTTAGGTGCACGGGATTTGCTGTGTCCTGAAAGCATTCCTGGTTCATGAGGGTTTTAAAAACAGAGGGGACACATAAATCCCATTAACAGGGTCTTTTCATTTCATCCTGGAATAAAGCCACCATAACCTCCCTGTGCCAGAGTGGGAGCTGTCATGTGCAAACACAAGTTGGCTGTGTCAGGACTCTTCTGGGGCCCACTGGCCCCTGAATTTTACCATCTCTGTCTCAGACACCCTGCAAATCCTTCTCAGTGCTCGGAGGAGCGGGACCATGTGCAGTACTGACCCTGCAGCGCTTGGAAGCAGATTTAAAAATAGTTCTGAAATCTTGTTTATTTCTCTGATTTTTGGATCCAATTCCTCTAGATCAAAGATAAATAAAGTTTACAGTGAGACGGTGCTTGCCAAGAACACAAAGCCCAACGTTCCTCCCCAAAACTTGCACTTCCCACTCAGTTCATGCCCTTTTTCCCTACATTATCTCAGCTGAAATCCAGGACCAAAACAGATGTTCCGTTGATTTTCCATGCCCTTTTCCCCAGTCAGCACCTTGCTGACCTCCAGCCCCCTCGTGTGAGGCTCCAACGAGGTACTGCTGCCCTGAGGCTGCCTATGGTACCATGAGATCCATAATTAGGCAGACTTTAAGAGCCTGATTCTGCTGACAGCCATGGGAGTGGGATGTTACATCCTTTTATAAGCAGACATGCAAATAGGACACAAAATCTATGGTCTCCATGTCATCTTTCCATTGAAAACAGCCCTCCTACACACTCTTCTCATGGAGGTGTGAGTGTGGGAGCCCTGGGACCACAGGGCAGTGGTGCCACCGTCACACACCATGTGGGTTCTTCCAGAGAAAACCCCTGCCCATGGCTGCTCTGCCACTTGCTCATGGCCCTTCCAAAGGGGTGATTGGGATTGTCAGGATGATGCAGGGAGCTGCCCTGCTGCAGTTTTTGAAACTCCCATTGTAATCACAGCATGGAATATTGTATGGACTCAGGAGCTGCTTGTACAGTGCTTATCCCCAAACTGCTGCTTCCCCAACACCCACAGGGACCATCGGGTCACTCAGCCACACAAGGTGCTAATCATCCTTGGCACAGGCTCAGCACCAGCTTCTGCCAAGGAGAAGATTTTTCCTCTACCAACAGGAAGGCAAATCCCTTGCCTGGCACAACTCACCAACACTGGATATTTGTGCCCTGCAACATGGGGGTTACACACTCCAGGGTAACAGGGATGGAGTAACTAAACATCCCTCACCTGGGGGAAGACAAGGTCCTGTACCTGTTTGTTTATAATAATGAGTTTATTGAACACAGCAAACACACAGCCTGGCACCTCCTGCCAGGCAGACAATCTCCAGGTACAAGAAATGGCATTTAGTGGGTGCCTGCATCACGGAACATGCACCAACTCCCCCCAGGAACACCCTCAGACCTCCCACCCCTCCTCCACAAGCCATCAGCCCAATTAACAGATACATTCTGCGTCATCAAGGAACTCGGGGCGGTGGAGAGGCAGAAAGGGCTGGCACTGCATTCCCAGGCAGCCCTACCAAGCTCACATTAACCACAGGAGCTGCCTCCGTGCTCGCATTTCCAGCTCCTCACTGAACCTCTCCTCCGCAGCCCCTGAAGGGAGCGGAGCACAGCCCAGATTGAATTCCACCCACAGAGGTTTCTGCGGGGTGAAAGCTGAGACGGCTTTGTCCCGGCATTGTGCGGAGGGAGAGCTGGCGGCAAACAGGGGCTGTGCGGGGTCAGCGTGGGGACAGAGCTGAGCTGCCTCTGGAATCCTTACAGAGTGAGTAAACAAGCTCTGCTAATGCCTCCCTCGCTGCCCGAGCCCTTTCACACCTGTGGGACCCATCTCGGAGCCAGGAAGGGAAGGAGAAGAGACAGCGTCACCACCACACCAGAGGACACCTGGAAGCACTGGGGTCTCTCCAGCCACCTCCATCCCAGACATGCTGCCCCTTGTCATTAATGGAGAAGGGAGGAGACTTCAATGTGGCTTCTGCAAATACATCTCAAGCACCCTGAGGTCTGTGAGGAGCTGGCACATGTGCAGATAGAGGCTACTTGGGGTCCCACAAGGCACTGGACAAGGATCTTACCAGCTCCAAGAAGCCTTGGAACAAGACTGAGTCTCCCCTGGCCAATTAATCCATTAAGAGGAAAAAAAGGTTCCGTAACATATGGGAATTGACAGACAACTTCCCCAGCAATGGACCATCAAGAGCTCAGAGCAAGGGTCAATAATGGCAAGAAGTTCTTTAGAGCAACCAAAATGCAACTGAATGTAGAACACTGCCAGGAAAAGGGTATTAAAAAAAAAAGTCTAAATCCAGGTAAAAGTGTTGCCTGTGGAGAAAACAGGTGTGTTTCCAGCATCACACCTGCCCCATTCCTCAGGCAAGCCTGGTGCTCCTGGATCCAAACTAGCTGACCTTTGTGGAATCTTACACTGCCCTGAACAACCTCAACTCAGCAGGGTGATACTGTTGCCAACACGTGCCTTCCAGCTTCAAAACCTTTCCCTAATACAGAATCCACTCTAAACTTCCCCAAACTGAGTTCATGGTTCACAGTTCTGTGTTAAATGTGAAGCCCTGGCAGCGCTCTTACTCCAAGGTCCCTGGCCTTCAGTTTTAAAAAGCAGAGTGTAGGTCTACATCCAAGAATTTCTTCTACACAACCTGTGGAGGACACGGTAGTTTTGTGGAAGAGAGAAGAATCCCCATAACCCATGGGAGGTTTTCACAGCAGGACCCCAGGGTATCACTGCCCTTTCTGCTGCAATCCCAGGGATGATCAGCTGTGCTGGAGGTCTGGATTGGGAGCCAGTGTCAGTGGCACAGCCCTGCTGAAGGGCAGTGGGCACCAGGACACCACTTCCCTTTATTGAGCAGACCCTAAAGTCCCAGATCAGTGTGCTGGAAGAGCTGGAAAGGTTCCTGCCTCAGCACAGGAAGCAAACTGTGCACTGTCTGCTCTTCAAGGCCGACTGCACAACACACAAAAACAGGGCAAGAGGGAAATACTCTTCTCTATTCCCAGACAAAACCAGCATTATCCACTAAATCCCAAATGCATTTCTTTTCCCTTTTCGTTTTGGGAGAAGAGACCACATTTAATTGTTTCCCCCATCTGGTGCACATTCACAGTACGTAAGAATGAGTTTAGTTTCCCATACATGTGTCAGATCATGACCTCAGGGAGAAAGAAGAATCTGCATTTCCAGAAGCCACACGCCAGTTCCCACTGGCTCTGCCACGCACAGCACGAAACACCCAAACCAACCAGGGTTCAGTATAAGTTGTTCACAGGATATACATTCCAAAGGGACAAGTACAAATATTACAAAATGAACGGAATCACTTTTAAAATCCATGTATTTGTTTAACCGTTAAAAACAGACAGGAACAGAAAGAGGTGGCCAAACCAACAACTCCCTGCCGCTCCAGTTAGTGCTGCCTGCACGCTCTGGGAATGTTCTTGCAGAACCAAACTCTGGACATCCTTTCTGGCAAGGGCTGGAGACAACTGGCAGATGATTCCTGACTGTGTGCAGGGCTGAGGCAGAGCCACAGGCCCAGGGCAGCTCTTTGATGGTGTCTGGCTTAACGCAAAGGCATTGAGAGAAAAGGTTGTCTGGGGTAATGTCAGAGAGCAAGAGAGAGCGAGAGAGAGCGTGAGGGACACCACACCAAGGGCAGGGAATAACAGAAGTTCCTCTTTCCCTGCCACTGCAAGAGGGAAGTACAACAGATCTGTGGGTCCCAGAGTTAGGATAAAGTTTGGAATTAGCTTGGTCCCATGGATATCAACATCACTTGACAGAGTCAGAGCTAAAAGCAAGGCAGGAAGGCTAAGGGCAGCAGAACTCCACGTGTTGCACACACACACACTCTCTCTCCCTCTTTTCAGGCTGTCTGAAGCCCCAGCAAGGCCAGCTCAGGAGCTTTTCCCATCTGCCATGTAATAACGATACATTAAACCTAAGACCAGTGCTCCAAAGATGGGGATCAGCCATGTCGACCAGAAACTACAGGGAGAGAAAAAGAACAACAAACTAAAATGTGCACACCACAGAAACCAGAAGAAAGCACCTAGTTAATCATCCATCCCCAATATTCATCCCTTGTTACACATCCAGGGAATGCCTGGGAGCTGTACCCACAGGCTGGCCCCTAACCATGGCCACAGCTGGGGCAGGCCCCACTGTCCCCAGGCCCAGGCTCTGCCATTCCCCACGGGAGGCCCAGGAGCAGCCTCGTGCCTTATAAAAAGGCAGCTGGATGGCTGCAGTTTCCAGCTTGGCACATCCAGAGACCAGTGGGGGGAGTTTGTTGTTGGTTTGGTTTTATTTTCCTTAAATAAGTCAGGCTGTAATTTGTGTTGTACAAACAACACTGTTGACTCAAGGATGGCAACGGCTACAGCTGTGCCCCAGTAAATCTGCCTTGCTCAGACTCCAGAGGCTCACCCTCAGCAGCCTCCTGAACAAAACCTCCTGCGTGAGCTGCAGGAGACCAGGGCCCTGAGCTGGTTTTATGGATTTTCAACTAGGCTGGGCTGATCATGGTAAAATCCTCCAAAAACCCACCCATCACTGTGTTGTGCCACCCCTGGGCCCACAGCGACCACCCAAACACCCGCTGTGCTTACAGAGATGCAGCCAGTGCTGTGCAACACCAGCACAGGGGGCAGAGAATTCCAAACTGGCATGCTGGTTCTGCCCAGCGCAGAGCAGGGCCGGGCTCACGTCCAGCAAGGGAGGTGCACACTCTGGCACATGCTTTGGAGGATCTGCTTGCCAGGACACTGCAGCACATCCCCAGGGATTTTCCTGCCCTTTGGAGTTAACACGCAGCTCTACAAACAGGCTCCCATCCCCTCCATTTCTCACTCTTATTTTCAGGAGATACTATACCTGGTTTGGCCTGAGGATGTCCTACTTGAATTCTGGAGGAGGAAAGAGTGAGTTAGCAGGGGAACAAAGAAACATTAAACGTGTGCTAATAAGACAAGCCTGAACGTGTGATTACAAATTCAGAGGGAAAATAACCCTCCTCTCCCAAATACCCCCTGTCACCAGCGTGGCTGCTTTTGGGGATGTTTGCTGTCATCTTCATGTTCTTTCCATCAATCCAATCGGTCCCACCCAGGCACCAGCTTCATGCTGGAACTTGCACCCCTCTCAAAATAAGGCCTTGCTTATTGCATCACAGTTTTGGGGTGGTTTTGTGCTTCCCCTTTATTTATTTGTACATTACTGAGTCTCTCTCTTGCTGCCATCTTTAAATTACACTGGAACCTCCTTTAATACAGATGATGCACTCTGGAGAGAGCCCTCAGCTGTGCATAACCTGCTGGATTTACTGATCAGAAGAGAAAAACACTTGAATAAAGTATTTAACTCAGATCCAAGAGAGCTACTCTGATCATCATTGATTTCTGTGCACATTTTCAGCATGTGTTTATGAAGTGGAGTTGAATGAAACAATAAATTTTAAGGTGAATATGTACATCATCATACAGCTCCATATCTAAGCATAGGCTTTACCCAGCCTGAGTTATCCTTGATTCCTCTGCAGACAGTTCCCTTCTGGATTCCTGCTGCTCTGCAAGTGGTCCTGCTCAGAGGAACATCTCCTGAAAGCCTTGTTGAAGGCAGAGCTGTGCCCTGTGCAGGCCTCCCAGCCCAGCCAGCTGCAAGGCACATGTTTACCTCCCAGATGGGATTCTATTTATTGCCTTTTCCCTCTCCCCATCCCTTCCAAAGGCATTTTTGCAACACTCTGCCCTGTTCTACTCCAGGAGTACCTGAGTGTTAAGCAACACCACTGATCCCTGAGGCAGTTAACAGAGAATTCCTGTTTGCCAGCCAGCCCCTGTTGCTGTCTCCTGGCTCGGAGGGAACAACAAGGAAACCAGTTCTGTGGTCAGGACACAGCCAGAAATGCAAAAAATGGTCTGTGGCTCAAGGTGTGGAAAAAACATCACTGCTGCCAGCAGAGAAAGGGCACAAAAACTCACTTCCAATTCCACACTGAGGTGCCCACTGATGTTCAGAACAAAAACAAAGGTAGAATTTGCTTGGGAAATTTATTCATGTGTAGTTTGCGTAAACATAAAGCCACAAGCTCCACAGGAAAAAAGAGCGGGGAAAAAAGCCTCCAAAAGACGTGACATTAAATAAAAGCAGAAAACTGAACGGCTGAGAGCTTACCTTAGAACCCTCCTTTTCACGATCACTCTGTCAGGCGGAAAAAGAAGAAGAAAGAGGTAAGTGCTGACTTCAAAGGGAGGCTGCAGCCTTTCTGAGGGAATTGTTCTGTGCAAAGGTAATTGCCTGGGCTCAGTTTTCAAACAAGTCCTTCCTTGGCACCCAAAGGCAGGCAGAAAGGTGTCTGTGCCCCTGGGAACTCTCACCCTCCTGAGCTCAAATTTACAAGGCAAAGGTGGGTTATGCTTCCACCAGCTACAGAGGGAACCCATGAATTCAGCCTCAGTGCCCCGATTTAAATGAAGCGAGAAATCTGTTCTGAATGGTGGGAGGAGAAGACTAATTTAGTTCAGTTTCCCCAACAGAAACCCTGGACAACACAGGGACTGCCTGAGCCCCTCAACTACTGACTTATTTCCCAAGACACAGCCTGGAATCTTTGTCTGGGGGTTACACTCACCAGTGGAGGCACTCACCGGGTGGACCTCTCCAATGTAGTACTGCTTCAGCATTTCCCTGGCATCTGTGGAATGCCCCACATCTTCAAAGCTCTCAGTGGCATCTCTGCCAGCTTGCTCAAGCAACACCTCTTCTCCACCTGGGTGCTGGAAGAGAAGATCCAGGTGAGCCCAGGGCTGGATGCAGAAAGGCAGTGAGGATTCCTTCCTCCCAACCCCACTGCTGGATGCCTCAAGCAGCACCATCAATAAAATCTGCCAGAGGTTCAAGTGTCCAACCTCTCCTCAGGAATTCACAGACACCACTGGAGGAAAGGATATTCTACTTCTTCAGGTACTACAAAAATGATGTTTGGCTGACTCTGCACATGGATGTGCAATACTGAACTTGATCCTGTGTGCAACCACCAGTGACATGGGGGAAGGAAATCATGAAGTACCACAAAAATGATACTGTTTAATATCATACAGTGATTTCAGAGATCCAGAGCCCAACAGCCAAATCCCCAGGAGCTCCACAGTGGCAGTACCACTGCTGTGGGTGGCAGCAGTCACAGCTGACTCTCAGTGGGATGAAGTGGCACAAACCCCGGCTGTGGCTCTGCTGTCCCTGGTGGGCTGGGCTCTGTCCAGTGTCAGTGTGGCAGTTCCAGGCACAGCCTGGCAATGGAAAGCACAAACCACAGGCCTAGCAAAGGCCAATCCTTTACAGCCTGAGTGTGAACCACCAGCTAATCCAGTTACACCCATAAAGTGGTCACACATCCCAGGGCACTCACAGGGACTAACCCAGTGTTCCAGGCCTTCAGGCAACCAGCCCTGAACCGGAGAAGAGACGCTGGGCTACATTTCAGATCAAAGGACCAACACACCTGCTTCTCTCTGTCACATCCTTCTCTTCCCACATGCACAGAGCAGTTGCCACCCCCCCTCTTCCTTCAGTTTGTCTGCTTTTGCTGCCAAAAGTCTGAATATTCCCTCCAGGCCATCCCACCTCATACAAAACACAGGGTGGACACAAAACAGCCCCCTTGGTGGCTGCAGTGGGCTGCTGCAGGCAATCCTGCAATCCTCATATCAGAGCTCTTTATTTGGAATTGTCCTTTATTGTCCAGGTATGTCACCAAACTAACACAGAGCTTCCTCAGGAGCCACAAAGGGCAAAGTGGAAGGACACAGTTTGTCACAGGCAGTTACCAGGTGGCTGAGCTCCATGGCTCATTCCCTGTGTCCAGCTGCAGTTCTTCTGGCTGCCCCTTCTCCCACACCAACCCTCAGGCTCACTGATCTCAGAGGAGTCAGATCAGGGACTGCTGGATGTTATCTGCTCACACTGCTCAGAACAACTGTCCAGTTTCCAGCTAAGATCCACTGAAAAGCTGCCCATTCATCTGAGAGTTTTAGAATAACTCCTTAGGGTTGCCTCACCAGAAATCTCATATTTCAGACAGGAAAATACCTGCATTTTAAGCAGACAACCTTCTTTTCCTAATAATTCACCCTAGAAGGATAGAAAAAACCCTGCAGCAACAGGGAACATGCAGTGGATCTTTCAGTGACATCCAATCTCTCCACAGCCAAGAGACAAGAGGAAGAATAAAATTCAAGAGAGAAGGAGAACAGTAAAGTTCACTCTTCTTTACATCTCTGGCTCTGAAGCCTTTCTATGCACTTGCTAAATCCACAATTATTTATTCGTGCACATCTGTCTTTCACTGCAATCTCCAAGCCTAAAAGAAAAAGACCTTCAAAATATTTTGGCATCTCCTGTTTCTGAAGGGCTCTGTCCTCCAGACAGCACCGCTGCAGCCAAACAATTCCCACCTTGTCCTAGCCCAGCAAACATAAACCCAGACTATTTGTACAGGAAGTCACGGACTCTGCCACAAAACTGCCCAAAGCTGCAGCTCAGCTGCTGCAGGAAAACATGGAAACAGTGGTGCAAAGTGTGGGGGGGAGGAAGATTACTTCAGGGGAAACAATGGCTGGAAAATGTCCCTTTCTGACAAGAAACAGCCAAAAGCAAACCAGAAGGAGAGAAGTGACAATAAAACTGGGTTCTCTGTGTCACTGGACCCTCAGCACACAGAGAGTAACAGTGACTTGGAACTGAGGGCACACAGCAAAGGCCTCCGAGAGCACATCCCAAACCTGCCCAGGGAGAGAGCCTGGAGTCCCCTCCCCACAAACCCCAAGAACCTGTCTGCAAATGTCTGGCTGGGAGCTGCTGGTACAGACCTGCTGGAGACACAAAGGAGCTCAGCAGCAACACTAAGCTCCAGGACTAATTAGATCACTGTGTCAGGTAAGAGATAAGAACACCAGGCTGAGGAGGGGTGAAACTTTCATCCCTAGTGCTCAGAGTTAAAGAAATAAACCAGGAGAGGGGAGAGTATTCCTGTGCAATAATCATGTGCCAGCACCAGCCAAGCCAGAACCAAGGGCGAGCAGTCACCTGGAGGAATGACCCACACATCCTGCACAGCGCTGGTGTAAGGCAGGGAAAAGGTTTTCCAAAAACCTCTCTGCCAAGCTGGGGCAAGTCAGCATGAGGAAACTCAGGTGCCTGGTGCTCCTCCTTCTCCTGAAGAACACTATACCTGAAACCAACTGAGCCATTTGGGTCAGTGCTGGCACAACCCAGGCTCCTTCCAGCTGGGAACTGGAAATGGATTCCTGCTCACACTTATCGGGGGATCAGGAACAGCAGCATGTGCTGAGACACGGAGCTGTGGGGGCTGCTGTGGCTTGTGGGCTCAGATAACAGACACAAGAGCTTCCTGGAGAAATGTGGATCTCCACACTCCCCTAGTCATAAGTGAAAATGGACAGAAACTGTATCCCTCCAGCAGGACCATAAATAAGTCTCTTACAGATTGTGCACAAGTTAAAAGCTCAGATTTTGATACCGTTGTGGTGAAGTGTGAGCCTGACAGACCCCAGAGCTCCTGCAGGAGGTACAGCTGCCTCCCTCCACCCTCCCCAAGCACCCAGCCTGCTGCTCCAGCCACAGCCTGCACGTGCTTATCTAGAGCACTGCAACCAGGAGCAGTGACAGGTATCCTGCTGTGGTCCACTTACCCAGATCTGGGACAAAATAAATCAGCATAAGGCTCTCTTAGATTTTAAAATAATCCCATTCCATTTCAGGCACTCAGAGGCTCTCTGAAGCACAGGAGATTGCATCTCCCAGGAACACCTGCAGCACTTCAGCTGCTGTCTTTGCACATCTCCTGGATTTGGATTGTGTTCTTACAATTCAGTAAATTTTGTTATGTGACAAAATGAAGAAGATGTCTTCTTACTCCTATTACACATAATGTGAACTGGAAACTTTAACTGGCCTATACTTCCAGCAGCACATGGATCTCGGGTTGGCTGACCTGCAGTGTGTAATTTGCAGGAATTGTGAAGCCAAATTCAGCCTTTCAGCGGTGACTTCTTCAGGATTGCACAACCCCACCCACAGAACGTGCCAGCACTCTCAGCAATGCCAGCCAGATCTGTGAGCAAAGGCCAGGAAGGGCACCCAGCAGCTCCTGCTCCAGTGACCACATGGGGCAGGGGGACACACGACAGGCCCTGAGCTCTGCAGCTCCAGCTGCCCAGGGAACTGCAGCTCCAGAGCAGAGTGGCACTGCTGGCTCCCAGTGCTCTGCAGCTCCAGACTGGCACTGCTGGTTCCAGCACTCTGCAGCTCCAGAGCAGACTGGCACTGCTGGTTCCAGCACTCTGCAGCTCCAGAGCAGACTGGCATTGCTGGTTCCAGTGCTCTGCAGCTCCAGACTGGCACTCCTAGTTCCAGAGGCTGCACGGTGCTCCCCAGCACTCCAGAGGGTAACACATACAAAGAGGATTTTTGCCAATAAATTAGGCCTTGATCTCCAGCTCCCCTGTGTCACTCTTGCCACAAGGGGTGTGCACAGCCCAGCGTTGTGTCAGCCACGCTGGCACAGCTCAACAGTGCCCTTATTCTTCTCCCTCTCCCTCGTCCAAGCAGGTCCTTTATGTCAGAAAAACGCAAATGGGAAAAAGGGCCTGGAAAGGACAGAGTGAAATATCATCTCAGGGTGAAACACCATCTCAAGGTGACACTCAGGGCACTGCTAAGCCTGGCTGGGACTGAAGTGTTTTTCTGGGCTCACTCATAATTCCAAAGGTGCCCCAAGGAGCAGGTCCCAGGCTCCATCTTAGAGAGAACATCGAGGTGAAGACTCAACCTCCCTGCAGTGTCCCCACTCTGAATCACAGCAGAGACAAGTGTAAGACCAGATTCACAGCTCCTGCAGCTGCTCCAGCTCATTCTGGCTCTTCCTAAACTCCAACCCAGCATTTTCTTATTCAGAAACCAGCTGCGAATGGCTTTTCCAAGTTTTTGCCTGGTCCTCCCCTGCACCTACTTAGCCTCTGTGCACCCACAACTCCCTCCCACCAAACTGTCCTGCTTCCACCTTGCACATCTCATCCCCCAAACTGCTCTGCCTGGAAAAAAGGGGGCTTGGGGGGACCCTCTGCCTGTCCACAGCTCCTGACAGGAGGGGACAGCTGGGGGGGTCAGGCTCTGCTCCAGGGACAGGACAAGGGGAAACAGCCTCAAGCTGTGCCAGGGGAGGCTCAGGGTGGACATCATCAGGAATTTCATAACAGAAAAGATTCTTCATTGGCAGGGGCTGCCCAGGGAGGGTTGGAGTCTCCATCCCTGGAGGTGGCACTCAGTGCTGGGGACAAGGTGGGGATTGGCACAGCTTGGACTCCATGGTCTGGGAGGGATTTTCCAGCCTGGACAAATCTGTGATTTGGTCATTTTCTGGACCCAAAGAAGAAACCAGATTGTGTTCAACATCATAAATAAATAGTGAAAGCTGCAGAGCAAGGCACAGCCCCCAGCTGCCAGGTGATCAGCCCCTCCTGCCTGATGCACCAGTACCCTCTGTCACTCCACAGCACACAGGCTTCAACCACGTGGGCCTGGAGGAAAACCAGAGTTGAATTCAGTCCAGCAGAACCAACAAGCTGTAACAAGTGCATTTCAATGAAGTGTCTTCTTTGGAGCTGGTTCAGCCCAACCTTTGTACATTGCCCTGCAAATGCCACAAAGTCTCTCCTGTTATTTTAAACTGGGATAAACCCCTTAGAAATTTTAATAGAACCATAGAATCATAGAATATTCTGAGCTGGAAGGGACCCACAGGGATCATCAAGTTCAACCCCAGCCCTGCAGAGACCCCCCAACAATCCCACCCTGGGCATCCCTGGCAGGGCTGTCCAAACTCTCCTGGAGCTCTGGCAGCCTCGGGGCCGGGACCATTCCCTGGGGAGCCTGGGCAGTGCCCAGCACCCTCTGGGAGAAGAACCTTTCCTGATCTCCACCCTAAATTTCCCCTAGCACAACTTCATGCCATTCCCTCCCATGGCATTATTATTTTGTTACTGTTTATTCCCACTCCATTCCCAGCTCTCAACAGTTAGGACACCACTCTCAACCTTCTCAAAATCAGAAGACGAACGCAGTGAGTCTTGAAGGATTTTCTGTCCCCACAGCCAAGGGGAGCAGAGATTTGGCAGAAGCTGCATTGTGTGCAAAGCCCTTGTGCGCGGTCCCTCGGGCAGGCAGCAGAGTGGTGGCTGCGGTGTCACTGTCACCTTCTCCTCCGAGTTCTGGGGTGCCTCTGCAGCCCTCACAGCCAAAGTGCCCCGATCCCGCTCACCCTTCCAGATGCGAAGTGAGGCCCGGTGACTGAAGGAAACCTCCCCGGGCCCTGCCTGAACAGATTCCCCTGGAACCCTGGAATGGCCTCAGAGGAGCCCAGCACAGCCCCTGCCCCCGGCTGCCCACCGCGACCCGCCATCCCGTCCGTCCCTCGGAAGCAGAGGCGCGGTCATGAGGCCCGGCCGGAGGCAGAGCCCGCACGACCCGGCCCAGCCCGGCCCGGGGAGCTGACACCGGGACCGCGCCGAACCCGAGCCGGGCCTGCGCGCCCCCTCCTCTGACACCTGGCCCCAGCATCTCTGTCCCCAGGACAGCCCCCGGCCCTGCAGGGCCCTCCCGGCCCTCTGGGCCTCACAGACCCTCCGGCTCTCCCCGCTCCCCTCAGGGCCGGGCCGGGCAGCCCCACTGCAGGCCTCACCTCCTCCAGGAACCGGGTGACATCGTAGACGCGCCCGTGGATCACCAGCCAGGCCTCACGGCTGGAGTTCCGCTTCGCCACCTCCTCCAGGGTGAACACGGGCGCGGGCCCATCCCCAGCCGCCGCCGCCGCCGCGGCCTCTCCGCGCCGCCCGCCCTCCATGCTGCCCGGCGCGGCTCCGCGGAACGCGCGGCCTGACCCGCGCCGGCCGCCGTAGCGATGGGAACGCCCTGCGCGGGTTCCGTCGTGCTCGGAGACCAATAGGGAGCAAGCCAGAAGGGGGGCGCTGCCAGCACAGCCAATGGGAGAGCGCGGCGGTGGCCGTGGGCCAATGGGAAGCGGCCGAGGCGAAAGGCGGGAAACGGCGCGCGAGCGTCGCCTCTGAGGCGGTACCGGGATCGGGACCTCAGCCCCGGCCCGTCAGCCCCGACTCCCCCCTCACCCCCGGCTCCCCCCTTAGCCCCGGCTCCCCCCTTAGCCCCGGGCCCGTCAGGCCCCGCTCCCCCCTCAGCCCCCATTCCCCCAGTACTGGCTCCGAGCCGCCCTGTTACCCCCGTGCCCATCAGCAACCCGCCCTCAGCTTTTCCAGTGTCCCTTGCAGTTCTTCCTGCATGTTTATAAAACAGGTGTGATCCCACAGCCTCGGAACGGAGCCGGTGGCAGTGTAGCACATCCCCAGGCCTTGACTCCCCAGGTTCCAAAGCAAAGTTCACATCCAAGCCTGACGAGAAGCGCTGGGGAATTCTCTCCTCCCTCCAGGCACGTGGAGCACGGTCAGGGTCAGAGGCCGCTCAGAAGCACAGGGCCCCGAGTCACTCATGAACCCCGTGGTTTCCCTTTGTGAACTGGCATTTGTGGAATTTATTTCCTTGCACTTGCAGCACAGGTACGAGGCTGGGCGGTGCATGTTTGTTTAACAAGTGCTGAGGAGGCAGAAGGGCCGTGCTGTCAGTGCTAAGCTGTGAGCAGCACTGGCTAAAGGTTGAAGCTGTGTGCAGGGAGAGCCCAGCCGGTCACAAATCCCTCTAAAGGGAGCTCAGGTGAAGTTCTCTGTTTGGACAAGGCCATACATTCACCTCTCCAGATATTGGGATGTAAAAGGCTCAGCCTGTTCTGAAACCTCTCCACAGTCACCTAGTCAATATTAAATATTGAGCTGCTGCTCCTTTTGATCCCTTCTGTCTACCTTTTCCCAGTCATCAGGGCTGTTTCCCTGATTCTGTGTGTAATCCAGGATTTTGTGTGTTTCAGCTCCTTGTTGTTCCAGGCAGCCCCACTCTTGGCACCTCTCCAAACCAATGTCTTTCCTTCTAGATCCTTCCCTTTCCTTCTAGATCCAGCCCAGTTCCAATGGGATGAGTTACCTTTGCTCAGATTGGTTCAGAGTTTCTGTAATCTACTTCATGGGTTTCTTAGTAAGAGCCTTTGTGCTTCCTCCTCTCCATCCCTCATGCCCGGAGGGTTTCTCTGTGGGTTTTCAAAGAAATCTCATGACCCTCCTCCACATTTCCCTTGTCCCCTGTTCCATTGCTCCACTGCTTTTCTAAGGCCAGAATGGTCCTGGAAGGGACCTTAGAGCTCCCCCAGTGCCACCCCTGCCATGGCAGGGACACCCCCCACTGTCCCAGGTGCTCCCAGCCCCAGTGTCCAGCCTGGCCTTGGGCACTGCCAGGGATGCAGGGCAGCCACGGCTGCTCTGGGAGCTGCTGTCCTGTCTGGTGCTCCAGCACAGAGCCTGCTGACCAGGGACCCTGGTGCTTTTCCTGTTCTGTTTCCTGCTCTAACTCCTCCAGAAGGATGTGACAGGCACGAGACCACGGCCACATGCAGATCCTGTTCCCTGGAATATTTTCTTTCATCTGTAATCACTTCATCAAAAGCCATAAATCAGTGAGGGGAGGCTCCAGCGTACAAGCGCGGCTGCAATTTGTGCCTTCCTGCCCAGTGCTTTGTTTGGCACGTGGAACTCCAAAGCTTTTCCTGAAAAACTGATGGTGACACCACAGGAGGACTCAGTGAAACTAGAAACTGAGGCCACTGCCATTCCTGGTCCTGCTTCCATCATCCCTGCTTCCTCTTTGTTTATTGGAGATGATTCAGGGAGCAAAGCAGTGGGTTCATTTTTGTATTTTCTCTGGAATTCACCATTCCAGGCTTGTTTTCCAGTCCTGGGTGCTGTTAACACACTGCTGGCTAAGGCAGACCCTGAAGTGGTGAGGGAGGGAAGCCTGGATTGGGGTGCCAATGCTGTGCCCTCCCCAGCTCCAGAAACACGTCAGGAATTGTCACCTTCTCCAGCTCTGCTCTTGTGACATCTCTCATGCCACCACCTCATCCAAACCCTGCCAGGAACTGCAGAGACCTTGGGATCTCAAATCTGCCAGGTAGGATGGCAGGTGATCATCTGAACATCCAAAAGGGTGACACCTTCCCCAGAGGGCACTGGAGGAGGAGATGGCAGCCCAGAGGGACACGGACAGGAGGCAGAAAAAGGAGGCATGGGGAGTTTTCTCAAGTGAGACCTGGCTTGGCCAAGGCAGGTGGTTCTCGAGTGGCTTTGTCCTGTTGTCTCATAGAGGAATGTCACTTTGCTTCCCTTGGGAAACAACTTCAGGACTCTCTTTCCTGACCTTTGTGTAAAAAATGAGTGAAATTACTCAAAATCCTAAACTTGTGCAGGGCCAGCAGGATCTGCTGAAGTGGTGGCACATGTGATGGAGCCGTGTGGATCACAGAGCTCCCTGGAACCCACGGGATTTTCTGCCCAGGAGAGCAAAGGCAGCCTCTGAAGGGCTGGGGCAGGACTGGTCTCAGCTGTCCCTGGGGATGTCACATCCTTCAGGGCATTCCAAGCGTGTCCTGCTCCCACCCTGCTCCCCAGGGCAGTCCCCCCACCCCAGGTGACCCTTCTGCCTCACACAGATTATTTTTATCTTCCTTTGTTTGCCAATAAATATCCCTCCCAGTTTTTCTGTTTTCCATCTGACACGCGGATTTTTTCCCATGTGTGTTTCCTCCTGTCCTGGCCTGGGGCAGAGGGAAGGGAGGATCCCAGATCACCTCATGCCAGAGGAATTTTCACGTGCTTTTCCATCTCAGGTGAGAGAGCCTCCAGGACAGAGTCAGGAATGTCCCCTGGGCCGAGGAGACACCCCATGATCCCAAGGATCAGCTCCCAGTGCCTTCGCCTCCAGGCACCACTTCTGCTTGGGAATTAGGGAGCTCGCTGGGAAGACAGGACTTGGAATTCATTACCCCGGTCTGAGTGACTGTGGGACAACCCATGCCCCAAAATCCTGCCCAGGGTCTCGGTTTGCTGTTCCAGGCGAGGGGGATCGGCAGGAGGCTGGAGCACAGAGCACAGGAGAGCGGGGTTTGTTTGGAAGACCAAAAAAAGGCAAAAACCCGTGCGTGCACAGGCAGGGCCGCACTGCCAGCTCCGGGTGACACGAGTTTAACGCACCCAGGCCTGCTCAGGTGACACACTCGCTCAGGGGTCTCAGCACTTACAGGTGGGCGTTTCGCTGCTGTGGGTGCCGTGGGACGGGCAGCGGGCCGACCCTGAGCCCGCAGGCACCGGCTGTGTCCCGGGCTGTGTCCCGGGCTCTGCCCCCGCCCGCGCCGCTCCCGCTGCCCTTCCCGCCGGGGCCCGCCATTCTCCTCCCGGCCGCCAGACGGCGACAACGCTTAGCGGCGGCTTTGGCGCGGTGCACGCCGGGAGCTGTAGGCGTGGCGGAGTTGGCGCGGTGCACGCCGGAAGCTGTAGGCGCGGCGGAATTGGCGCGGTGCACGCCGGGAGCTGTAGGCGTGGCGGAGTTGGCGCGGTGCACGCCGGAAGCTGTAGGCGCGGCGGAATTGGCGCGGTGCACGCCGGGAGCTGTAGGCGTGGCGGAATTGGCGCGGTGCGCGTCGGGAGCTGTAGGCGTGGCGGAATTGGCGCGATGCGCTTTGGGAGCTGTAGGCGAGGAGCCCGCTAGATAAGGCCGCGCGCCGAGGGTCCTGTGGTGCTGTGTTGGTGTCGTCACTTCCGGCGCGCTGGGGCCTGGCGGGATGGCGACGCGGCGGCCGACGCGGCGGGAGCGGGACCGGGACCGGGACAGGGACACCGAGGGAGACCGCGACCCCGAACCTGACCGGGCCGGGATGGCGGCGCTCCCTGAGAAGACCGTAAACCGCTGGGTCCTGCAGTTCTACTTCCACCGGGCCATAGAGGCCTACCGCTCCGGGCGCAACCGAGATTTCCGCCAGTTCCGCGACATCATGCAGGGTGCGCGGGGCCGGGCCGGGGGCCGCGGGGCCGGGCCGGGGGCGGCGGCGCCCAGAGCGGGCTGCAGCCCTGACCATCCGTTTGTCCCACAGCGCTGCTCGTGCGGCCGCTGGACCGGGAGCCGGACATGGCCCAGATGCTCCGCATCATGCAGCTGCTGTCGCGGGTCGAGGAGGGCGAGAACCTCGGTAGGCGCCCGGCCTCTCCTGCGGGCTCTGCGCAGACCCGGTGCTGCGTTGCAGCCCGCTCTGCTTCCCCTGACCTGTGTCCGTGTCCCCGCAGCTCCCGGAGCTGTGTCCCTGCACAGAGCCGGGCCCTGGGCTGGAGCCGTGCCGGTCCCCCCGGGTGAGGGGTGGCTCCTCCTGTCTGTCTGTCTGTCTGGGGGGCTGAGAGCAGCATCCGGGGCTGGCAAACCCAACGGCCTGGTGACTCTGCTTTGCCTCAGGGCTTCCAAAATGCTGCCCTGATTCAGGGCTGGGCACCTGGGACTGCCTCCAGTGCTGCCTCCTGAGTTTCCCGTGGCTGCTGGGGGGCAGGAATTGCAGTTCAGACACTTGGTAGTGCCTCAGCCCGGCTGTGGGGTTTTGTGGCACACCTGCGGGGTGGATGGCTGCCCCCGTGCAGGTGAATAACCAGCTCTCTGCAGGGAAGCACCGTGACCCCTCCCCAAATGTATGGATGCCAATTCTTACAGATTGCACCTTCGACAAGGAGTCAGAGCTGACCCCCCTGGAGTCGGCCATGCTGGTCCTGGACTTCATCCGTGAGGAGTTCTCTGTGGCAGATAGGACGATGGAGGCGGTGCAGAAAATGGTGAAGGAAGCTGTAAGATCTTTTCCTTTCTCAGTAAATATGTGGTGCAGCTTTTGCCTCGTGTGGGTGCTGGTGGGAGCTGCCTCACGT